TTCTATTATGAAATCGCCCTCTCTTAGCAGTCTTCAAACTTGGTGCCTCATCAGATTCCTTGTAATTGCAAGAGAGCCCAAAACAGTTCTACCCTCTCTCTGAAAGTAGCCAGGCTACTCAATGAGGAATCATGGTACCAGTGGTGAAATCCAAATTTTTTTACTACCAGTTCTGTGGGCGTGGCTTGGTGGGCATGGTGTGGCTTGGGTGGGCATGGCTTGGTGGGCGTGGCAGGGGAAGGATATTGCAAAATCTCCATTCCCACCCCACTCCGGGGGAAGGATACTGCAAAATCCCCATTCCCTCTCCACTCCTGGGGGAAGGATATTGCAAAATCCCCATTCCCTCCCCACTCCGGGGCCAGCCAGAGGTTGTATTTGCCGGTTCTCCGAACTACTCAAAATTTCTGCTACCGGTTCTCCAGAACCTGTCAGAACCTGCTGGATTTCACCCCTGCATGGTACCAATTTGCTTTATTACACTCCTAACAATTGTGCCCATAAAATGGTCCACTCTCTCTCTCTGACCAAACTCTGCTAAATTTTGCGGTTGGTAACAATTTTACGGAGGCTGAAAGTTTTGCTGAGGAGATCAACAATCCAGAAAAATGGAGCTTCATCACAACCATAGGCAGGACCATGACTTTCCATTGGATGGAATGACTACCAGGAGTCCTTGACTCACAATCATAAAAGGGACTGGAACTTCTATTGCTAAGTAAAATGTTCGTTTAAATGAGTTTTGCCCAATTTTGCAACCTTTTTTTGTTGTGGTCATTAAGTGAATCGCTGTTAAGTGGATCACATGGTTGTTAAGTGAATCTAGTTTCCCCAATTGATTTCGCTTTGCTCAGAAGTTGTCTAGGAAGACCACAAATGACAACCACATGACCCTGGGGTACTACAACACATAGAAAAACACATGCTGGTTCTCAACTGCCCCAATTTTGATCATGTGACTATGAGGACACTGAAACTGTCGTAAGTGTGAGGATTAATCTTACATCACATTCAGTGCCACTGTAACTTTAAATGATCCACTAAATGAGTGGTTGCAAGTCAAAATCTACCTATATTCAAGTAGTTGAAATTGTGCTGTGCAGATGAGTAAGACTAGAATAGAGGTTGGCAACCTTAAACACTCAAAGAGCCACAAAGGTCCTAATCGGAAGCCCCCCATTCAATTCTGGAGCCAACCGGAAGTCCGGTTCCCCTACCATAGAGTCTCCTCCTAGCACAGCATCCTTTTTCCTCTACCTGACCTAACTGAAAGCCCTGTCAATTGTGGAGCTGACCGGAAAACTTGCCCCTTGCCATAGAGTCTCTTCCTGGTGTGCCGTGCTTTTCCTCCCCATAACCGGAAGCTCCTCTCAAAATTGTGGTGGTGACAGCAGAGGGATGAAAGAGCCAGATGCGGCTCCAGAGCCACAGGTTGCTGACCCCTGGACTAGAATCTTCTCTTTTAGGGGAAAGGTTTGCTTTTTTAAAAAAATAGCAATAGCACTTAGGCATATATATCGCTTCATATTGCTTTACAACTCTCTCTAAGCACTTTACAGAGTCGGCATTTTGCCCCCAAACAATTTGGGTCCTCATTTTACCAACTTCGGAAAGCTGAGTCAACCTTGAGCTAATGAGGATTGAACCCCTGACAGTCGGCAGAGTTAACTTGCAATACTGCAATCTAACCACTGTGCCATCAGGACTCAATGGTGCATGAGCCATATTATCTGCCTATTGAAGAAATATGTGATTTCCAGGAACCAACAAGGGTAGAATCAGGGGTGGGCTGAGGGGGTTTGCAGGGGTTCGGGAGAACCTCTAGCTAAGATTCTGTGCAGTTCGGAGAACCCCCAAATCCCACTTCTGGCTGGCCCCGCCCCGCCCACCCCGTCCCTCCCAGGAGTCCCCACGCGGCCTGTTTTGGATGCAGGTAAGTGCAGGGCATGCATGGAGGCTCAGGGAGGGTGAAAAATGGGCCTACTGGAAGTTCGGGAAGGCCGGAAATGGGCCCATTTCCAGCCTCCAGAGGACCTCCAGAGCATGGGGAGGCCATTTTTGCCCTCCCGGAGGGTCAAAAAAAGCCTCAGGGAGGGCCAACACACACACACCCGCCATGGTGCAGGAGGCCACCATGGCCATGCCCACCCAGCAACCAGGCAGAGAACCCAATGCTAAATTTTTTGAAGCCTGCCCCTGGGTAGAATAGGCACGTAGCAAATATATAGTTCAAAATTGAGACAGGGGAATACTAGAATACAGAATAACAGAGTTGGAGGGGATCATGGAGGTCTTACAGCCCTACCCTCTGCTCAGGCAGGAGACCCTTGAGCTGGTCTGGATCAAACTCCTGGCTGTAGGCAGAGTTGGCCTGCAATATTGCATTCTAACCACTGCCCCACCACAGCTCTTTAATGGAGGTTGTTCTTAAAACTGGGCCGTCACTTTTATGTGTTTATTTAAGAAATTTATATCTCACGGATGCAATAACTCTTCAGCAGCCAAGTGTGTTGACAGGAGGTCCTTAAAATGAGGACTTGGAACAGCAAGTACTTCACGGTTACTTAGCTCTACTATCTTGGAACTCAAATGGTTTCTATGTCGGTGGCCACTGCCCTCCACTTGAGTCCTCCTTTTCAATTTACAGATTGATCGGACACGATGGAGTCAGGTGGGTTTGGACTTCTGCAAAACACGGTGTCCCCGTCTCTTAATAATGAGAAGCCTGTTCAATGCTTCAGTGTTCTTAAAATCGTGTTAAGACACGCTGAATTACTGAAACATGCTTGGGTTGTATAAAGAGCTAATTGACTGCTCCTGCGTTTCCCAGCACCCCGACAAACCTGTTCTGTGGATTAAAGGTTAAAGTTCCCACCTCCGAGAGAAGGCAAGGCAGAAAATTGAAAAAGGCTCATTAGAGATTTTTCTCGCTCCATCCCCCATATGAAACCTGCCAGTTCTATTTCCTCAACAAGTATGGAAGACCTGCTGACTTCATCCAAGGATTAATGCAGGCAATGTCTGCAGAAGCCTTGCACCCTGTTTGCATAGGAAGAAGACAAAGCTAGACACTTTTAAGGTCTGTATTTTAGGAGCATCCTTCTGCCCACAAAAATGCTGTCCAGAATCTGACACCAGGAAGCTTCAACCCTCCTGCTACAGTTATTTCTCCAAATTAGGTACATATGGAGGTTGATCCTTTCCAGTAACACGCCAATGCATTCTTAAACCTCATCCACATGACATCAGGGGTGAAATTCAGCAGGTTCTAACAGGTTCTAGAGAACCAGTAACGGAAATTTTGAATAGTTCGGAGAACCGGCAAATACCACCTCTGGCTGGCCCCAGAGTGGGATGGGAATGGGGATTTTGCAGTATCCTTCGCCTGGAGTGGGGTGGGAATGGAGATTATGTAGTATCCTTCCCCTGCCATGCCCACCAAGCCATGCCCACAGAACCGGTAGTAAAAAAAAATGTGAATTTCACCACTGCATGACATGGTTTAAAAACTGTTGGTCCTGGCTAATACAATCCCACCAAACTTACCTTCACTATGAAAACATGAGTGGGGCGTTACAAAACGGCTCATAAACCTTGCAACAAGCTGTCCTTTTGTGGGGCAATGCCCCAAACATTGCTGTAGTTTCAGTGCAAGACTGTTTCACGGAAGTCTCAAGAGCATTGCCCAGAAATTTTGAACCTGCTGAGTCTTGTTCAGAGAGCCATCTATCCCAGGATGCAATGCAACATTAGTTCCATGGAATCCACATTGCAACATATTCTTGAAGTTCCCCATTGAAATTTTGGGGTTTAACCAAGTTCCTATTTTCTTCGTAAGGACTCAATCAACCATTGTATATTCTCCTCCCTTTCCTTTCCTCTTTCCTCTTTCTTCCCTTCCCTTCCCTTCCCTTCCCAAATGGAATGCTAGAAGCCACAGAACAGAATTTGTCAGCAACTACTTCTGTTAAACAAGGTATTCAAAATCCCCTACAGGGATTTCTTCTCAATTCAGCTTCAGAGCTAGCTACAGTGGGGCTACAAATATGTCATGGGAAGATTAAAATCAATACACTAAAAGTGCTTGTTAGCAAGGCTTATTTCTGTTTTGCTGTTGAGATCCATTTCTAAAGAAAGTAGTAAAAGGCTGGGAGATGACCTGAATCATAGTAGCCTCATCTTTACTGCCCAGAGAGGCTATTTCACCAGGTCTAACATTCCTGTTTGGGATTAAGGGCATGGGGTGAGAAATTTGAACTAAAGAGAAGGCTAAGGAGAGTGATAGCCATCTTCCAATACTTGAAAGGCTGTCACAGAGAAGAGAAGATGAATTTATTATCTGCGGTGTTCAAGATTAGGACAAGAAGCAAGGGATGGTTGATTCCAAACTCGGAATAAGGGGGGGGGATTATTATACAGTGAATGAATCTGCCTCTTCCTGCTCCATCACTGGAGGTTTTCAAGCAAAGGTTGCACAGCCATTTGTCTAGGAGAGTCTGGGGCAGAGGTGGGTTTCAGCAGGTTCTGACCAGTTCTGGAGAACCGGTAGCAGAAATTTTGAGTAGTTCAGAGAACCGGTAGCAGAAATTTTGAGTAGTTTGGAGAACCTGTAAATACCACCTCTGACTGGCCCCACCCCCCATCTATTCTCTGCCTCCCAAGTCCCAGCTGATCGGAAGGAAATGGGGATTTTGCAGTAACCTTCCCCTGGAGTGGGAAGGGAATGGAGATTTTACAGTATCCTTCCCCTGCCATGCCCACCAAGCCACGCCATGCCACACCCACCAAGCCACGCCCACAGAACCAATAGTAAAACAATTTGAATCCCACCACTGGTCTGGGGTGACTTGTACTGGAAGATCAGTTGTATTGGAAGATATACTGAAAGATCCCATGATCCTGTGAACTCTTCCGTTTCCAGCTACTCAATAGAGTAGCTCCACCCCAAAAACAAGAGATGTGTTGCTAAGGGTCCAAGCCAACACATGCAATAAAGAGAAACCATTGTGAAAGTTTTATTTCTTAACAACTAGAAATTAGAATTGTGAACACCAGCCCTTCAGCTCACAAGGGTTCCTAGAATCCTGTAAGTTGAAATAGTTTCCACATCTTATCTCGGTGAAGTACCATAGTTTTTTTTTCAAAACAAACACCGCGTTCAGATTTCTCTGCATAAAAGATGGTTTGTGAGTTGTGACTCATTTTTCCTGAACCACTAAAAACTTTCCCTATTTGGCTCAGCTCTGAGTCAGTAGATGGGTTTCCACAAGGGAGGACAATGGAAACATTTTTCAGATTGTAGTCCTTTTCTTCTGCATTTTACCTAGCATTTCTTTTCTGTTCTCCACCTCTGCCAAAAAACGAAGTAGGAACTGTCTTCAGGTCTGAATTCATATTCCCATGTTTGGTTGGGAAGAAAGAGGATTAAGAGATTTCCATGTGGATCATTCTCAGATTCTTTTCATTTCTTGCTTCTTTTTTCTTTAGTTCTAAGATAGAAATTCCTTTATCGTTATCTGTTTGTTCACTTAATCTTTACATACTTGAAACATCGGTTCTGCACCTTGTCGGCATTCCTGTTGGCTTTGAGGCAAATCAAAAAGCATTAAAATGCCCGTTCGAAGGAAGGAGAAGAGTTAATCTTGATCCCCTGTCTTTCAAGAATGTGGCCCTGCAAAAGGAAAATGTAGAGAAAGTTATAATGGAGAACATTTGCAAATGCATTTGCAAAAGGAAAAACAAAACAAAACAGGATTTGCTGAATGAATGAACATTGGCTGGGTGCCATGTCAAATCTCATTTGAACAACTGCCAGATCCCAAATCCCTGTGTGATGCTGTCATTTGCCCTGGGCCTCCTTTTCAATATAATACTTTGTTATTTTGTCCTGGATGTTAAGCAACTTTCACATGCCATTCTGGGTAAAGAATACCCTGAAGATATTACACCATAATAGGACAATCAATGGCTTGTGGTTGATAATTAACCCCAAAGCCCATTTTTGTGGTATCTAAGATTCTGCATCCCCCAGTTGTGGTTGTAAGTTTGTTGAAGACCAGTAGGGTGATCTTCTTCTAATTTGCTGGATTTTCTGTAAACCTAAGAATGAGTTTAAGGCAATTTAAAAACAAAAGCCAAACAGAAGCCAAAAAAATCAAACCAAAATCTCAGCTCCATAAATCTGAACATCATCTATTTGAATCCCCTCCCTAACAAAATACATTAAATGCAATATTTAGTCCCCTCTTTGTTAGCTTTTGCAGAAACATTTAAAATTGTCCCCTTGCATTGGATTTTTGGAGAGCAGGATAGCAAATATAGGGAGTGCTACAAAATATAACCTGCTTTCCAATTTTAGAATATTTTGAATGGGAAGGGAGGGAGGGAGAGAAGGAGGGGAGGGAGGGAGGAAGGGAGGGAGGGAAGGAAGGAAGGAAGGAAGGAAGGAAGGAAGGGTAGGAAGTTAGCACTCACCCCTCTCCTCAAAGAATGAAATATTTTAGGAAATATTTTAAAAAGCAGAATATTGTTATTTCCCTGGATGAGAAATGGAAAAACATGTTTTAAAGACAAAGCAGCTTCCTGCCTCCCCCCATCTTTGTCAATGGGCCATTAAGGCCTCAGCCAAGCTCACTCATCCCCCCCCCCTTTGTCAATGGACTATCATCTGCAACACAAAGGACCCGTCCAGCAACAAAAACTCTCCACATGGTACCTGGGAAGATTACATCAGCCAGCAAGGCTAGCTAAGATCCCCACCTCCTGGGAGTCTCACAACCAATCAGGATACATTTCTTATACAGGAACAAGAAACTCTGAGGGTGGGGCACAACAGAGGGCATAAAACCAAGGCACAGGCAGCATCTTGCCCCCTTTTTTTTCTACTCAGGAACTCAAGCCATGTGCTCCTGTTCAGGAACTCAAGCCATGGGATTCCTATCCACCATTAAACCATTTTTCCAAGCAGTCTCCATGTTTCCAGTGTCTTTTTCCCCACTTGCAACTGAACCCAGAAGGACATTTCTTCCAACAGAAGGAAGGAAGGAAGGAAAGAAGGGAGGGAGGGAGGAAGGAAGGAAGGAAGGAAAGCTACAGGGGCCTCACCTATAGCTTTGGAGAGCCACCTGTGGTCTCTGCTTTCTGAACCAGGGCATTGTGGGAAGACAAAAATAACCAGTTAAAAAACAAAGCAGCCATCAATTTTTGTGGGAGCAGTCACATTTCCCCCACCCTAAAGACCTAAAGGGACCCAATTCCTCTAATATGATGAAAGAGAAAGCAAAGGTTATTAAGAGTCATTTTCCCTTATAATTTAATATACCATGCTGCCCCTTCCTTGTTTTTTCCCAAAATTTAAAAACTCCAAATAGTTTGTCATTTTTTTCATAGGAGTATAGGTTAAACTGATTGAATAATTTAATTGCCCTTTCCTTTATTTGCTCCTCTCTTATTCCTTCCCTTCTAATCATTTTTTTTTCAAACTTGGCAAATTTGTGTAAATCTCGACTCCCAGAATTATGTGAGTGGCAATTATCTCTCTGTTGAGAAATCAATAGCGACCTGGGCAAGATCATTCAAATTTCACACAATTTCAGTCTCATCTCATGAGTTTTCAACCATGACTTTTAACATTAGTTTTTTATTTAATCTAAGAGAAGCTAAAGACCCCATTGGAGGATGTTTTGGATGTTGTATTGTTAACACTTGCTCTACACAATTTTATCTAATATTGAGCAAATTACAGATTCCATGACTGAAGAGACCAGGAGATGTGCTTTCAGAAATGTTTATTCACTTATTCATAAATCTTTAAAAACCCAAAACCCTTTTATTGAAAGGGGAAATGTATCTCTCCATTATCAGATTAGTTTTATAGGTTCTGGGATGTAACTTACCAATAACGCTATTTTCTGAAAGAAGCACATACTGTACATAATACTACCCTTGTTGTACTATCCATACTGTACATAATACTATCCATTACTCTTGGAAATGATAAACTCAGGCTGACACTCATCATTGTTTCATATTGTCTGATCCAGCAATGATCTTGTCACTAAAATTCAATAAAATATATTTCTTCTTCTTCTTCTTCTTCTTCTTCTTCTTCTTCTTCTTCTTCTTCTTCTTCTTCTTCTTCTTCTTCTTCTTCTTCTCTTCTTCTCTTCTTCTTCTTCTTCTTCTTCTTCTCTTCTTTCTTCTTCCTCTTCTTCTTCTCCTCCTCCTCCTCCTCCTCCTCCTCTTCTTCTTCTTCTTCTTCTTCTTCTTCTCTTCTTCTTCTTCTTCTTCTTCTTCTTCTTCTTCTTCTTCTTCTTCTCTTCTTCTTCTTCTTCTTCTTCTTCTTCTTCTTCTTCTTCTTCTTCTTCTTCTTCTTCTTCTCCAGTGAGAACAATCAACCAATGGAACAGAAGTTGCCTTCGGAAGTTGTGGGAGCTTCATCACTTGAGACTTTCAAGAAAAGATTGGACTGCCATTTGTCAGAAATGGTGTAGGGTCTCCTGCTTAGGCAGGGGAGTTGACTAGATGACCTATAAGGTCCCTTCCAATTCTGTTAATCTGAGATTCTTCTTCTTCCCCTTCCCCTTCCCCTTCCCCTTCCCCTCCTCTTCCTACCACTTTGGATGTTGAGGAAAGTATTTTTTTTAACCTAGAAAAATGCAGATTAAAAAACACTCATGATGCTAATTCCCAGTTCCTAATAGTCAAATGCCAAGAATCTGTTTGCCTAGATCAAGGGTGGAGAATCTTTGATTTTGGGGGAGAGAAAGAGTGCTTTGTCCCTTCTCCAGACTCACAGATAGTGTTCTATTCTACTCATTATAATGCTAATGAAGAACATCTTTATACAGCGGTGTCTTCTGTTTTTCCCTGCTGAACAAACACAAGTCATGCACATCTCTTTATCACTTCTGGCTCAGTTCTTGTCCACTGATAGAACATGGGAGCTCCAGTAGGCTGCGTCCAGAAAAATGTTTTTTTTTTTTATTTTAGATAAAAGCTTTCGTTGTAAGGATTCCCATTGTGGCAAGACATTCTCAGAACTCAAATGCAGAGCATGTAAACATCTAAGTGCCACTGATGACTCAGCATGAGAAACAGAAGGTATGAAGCCTGTTGGAGGGGGGTCACAGTAAAAGAGAGCAGTGTGTTTGAATTAGGAGTTTTGTATCAATCCCACCCTATACAGGTAGTCCTCCACTTTCTTCTTCTTCTTCTTCTTCTTCTTCTTCTTCTTCTTCTTCTTCTTCCAGTGAGAACAATCAACCAATGGAACAGAAGTTGCCTTCGGAAGTTGTGGGAGCTTCATCACTTGAGACTTTCAAGAAAAGATTGGACTGCCATTTGTCAGAAATGGTGTAGGGTCTCCTGCTTAGGCAGGGGAGTTGACTAGATGACCTATAAGGTCCCTTCCAATTCTGTTAATCTGAGATTCTTCTTCTTCCCCTTCCCCTTCCCCTTCCCCTTCCCCTCCTCTTCCTACCACTTTGGATGTTGAGGAAAGTATTTTTTTTAACCTAGAAAAATGCAGATTAAAAAACACTCATGATGCTAATTCCCAGTTCCTAATAGTCAAATGCCAAGAATCTGTTTGCCTAGATCAAGGGTGGAGAATCTTTGATTTTGGGGGAGAGAAAGAGTGCTTTGTCCCTTCTCCAGACTCACAGATAGTGTTCTATTCTACTCATTATAATGCTAATGAAGAACATCTTTATACAGCGGTGTCTTCTGTTTTTCCCTGCTGAACAAACACAAGTCATGCACATCTCTTTATCACTTCTGGCTCAGTTCTTGTCCACTGATAGAACATGGGAGCTCCAGTAGGCTGCGTCCAGAAAAATGTTTTTTTTTTTTATTTTAGATAAAAGCTTTCGTTGTAAGGATTCCCATTGTGGCAAGACATTCTCAGAACTCAAATGCAGAGCATGTAAACATCTAAGTGCCACTGATGACTCAGCATGAGAAACAGAAGGTATGAAGCCTGTTGGAGGGGGGTCACAGTAAAAGAGAGCAGTGTGTTTGAATTAGGAGTTTTGTATCAATCCCACCCTATACAGGTAGTCCTCCACTTACAACAGTTCCTTTAGTGACCATTCAAAGTTACAATGGTACTGAAATAAGTAACTAATGACTGTTTTTCACACTTACCTTTTCCCCCCGAAAATAAGAAGCTGTCTTATATTTTTTGAACCCCGAAATAAGCGCTTGGCCTTATTTTCAAGGAGGTCTTATTATTTTGGGGTGTGTGGAGCAAGACAGGGCTCCTCTTGCCCTCTTACCTGATTTCCAGCTCTGTCTCCCTAACCCTAACCAGAGGAAATGGCAGGGACCAGCTGCGCATGTGTTTAAATATTGTTGGGGAGGGCTTATTTTCAAGGGGGCTTATTTTAGCTCATGCACTCAAAAGCCCGATTGGGTTTATTATCCAGGGAGGTCTTATTTTCGGGGAAACACGGTACAACCGTTGCAGCATCCCCATGGTCATGTGATCAAAATTTGGATGCCTGGCAACTGGCATTTATTTATGACCATTGCTGTGTCCCAGGGTCATGTGATTATCTTTTGCGACCTTCTGACAAGCAAAGTCAACAGGGAAGGCAGATTCACTTAACAACCATGTTACTAACTTAACAGCTGCAGCGTTTCACTTAACAACTGTGGCAAGAAAGGTCA